CCTCTCTCTCTCTCTCTCTCTCTCTCTCTCTCTCTGTGTCATTTACCTGTCTCAAGATTTTTCCTTTTATGAACATACAATAAAAGATAAAAATGACCCCATATTCAAGAGCATGCATTAACCCTATTAGTACATCATGTTTTACTATCATATCAATACGAAATGGGGAACTCTGTGCCACCACTTTCCAAAGAGGAAATTTACTCGCTAATCCTATTCGTACGCTTTGCATAGCAGTCTGTCAAATTTAAATTATTTGAAAAATACTGAAAGTTTCAAAGGGATCTTCGCACTAGAAGTATTCTAAAATATGAAGAATACAACCCCTGAGGTACAAAATGACCCCAGGCGTACGGATAGGGTTAACTAACTTACAATTATAGCACAAAAAAACTGTTATGATTTCACTTTCAAGATCATATGAAACATTATATCTATAGAATCATAATCAAAATCAAGCACGCAAAACAATCATAAACCATAATCACTTAAGAGAAAACAGAATTTGAATTACATTAGCAATCTTATGACAGAAGGGCGAGAGCCCAGCTGTTTCTGGATCGATAACAACAACAACAACAACAACAACGAAACACAACGATCGTAGAATCACATCCACTAGTCACAAAAACAAAAACAGTTATTGAATGACATTCTCATATTTTAAAAAATACTCAACAGAATCATGTGTACAACCACACACAAGACAAAGCGGTTATGGAATCACATATACAATCCCACGAGATTAGAGGAAAACTGAAAAAAAAACTCACAATGAGTGTGTCTATTCGCTTGGTTTGTCCAGCCTTTAGAATGTCAATAGTTTTTCCTGTCTCTCGACTGCAGATCCTTAAGTTCTTGCGGCCTCTGGAGCACATGGCGAATTCTGGGAACAAAAAAGATTTTGCTAGATTTAACGACATACAAAAACGTTCTTTTAAAGAGCAGTGCTCACTTATCAAAGTCATCCTGGTGAAAGAACAGAGGGGTTGAAAAGACATAAAGTATAGATGTGAAATAAATATAATTTTTTTCGAAGTATATTATTGCTTCATTGCTCTTTTTTTTTCTTTAAGATATTTTCTTGCACCTGTGTGTTCATCTGAAATAAAATCTTTTTCGTATTATGTTTTCTGACATATGAGAAAAAGACCCAAAAAATGAGGAAAAAATTGAGTACAATAAAGAGCTCACGATTCTAAAACTACCCCTGATAGTTCATTATATGTCTCGTTAAAAGAAACCTTTATCAAGAATGCAAATACATTTGTTTGAATCTTTGCATGAGTATTACAGCCACCTGTATAAGACAACCATCTGCACAAAAATATCTTGATAACGACTCTGAATAGTAAGTTTGAATAGGCAGATAGAAATTTCGCGTCTGATCACATAGTCGTAGTGACTCAAAATGGCCAAAAAACATCAGATCAAACGTTGTGATTCTAAGGTAGCGATTTTGCTAGCGCAGCGTTGACATGTTTCACCTGTGCCTCCATTGACCAACATGAGGTCACTGCAATAGTCTGGGATACTGCCCTGCAGCACGGTCACCACACGCATGGTGGTCAGGTCCAGCAGCTTGTGCTTTTTGCGGTACTCCAAGGACACAATCCAGTTGTCCAGGTACTGCACTGAGCTGAACTTGTCCTGCACAAACAGAAATAAAATGGAGACAGTGAAACAATTCTTTAAAGGGTTGTTTTTTTTCAGTTTTAGTAAGAGTTTTACGGCAATCGCAACACAATAAGGTCATATATTAGCCAAAGAACAGAGGTGTTACAAGATAGCATCTGGCACAAAAAAGAACGAGGAGAGATCAGGATGACAGACATTTGATAGTAAAAAGGGAGTAAAACACACCAGACCATCCGCAAACCACCCCCGCGACCAATTCTGTAATTCTATAATAAGCCATTAGAATTCAAACACAAGTAGTTAGGCTGCAGGATGCTGTACTGTAAGGTTGGCCTTTCAAATCTTCATCTGGGCTTTTGAATTATATTCGAAAGGAGACAGTTCAAATTTAAGAATTCTTTGCTGTGGTGTCATTTGCTTTGAGCTTGTTGAACCTGCAATTGTAACATTTTGGGTTTGAAATCTAGACTGGGCTCAAATGTTGTATCTTAAGTAATGACAAACTTTGGCAACCATTTTCTCGCTAATTTTTCCATTGAAACCAGGTGACCCCATCTCGTTCCATCGTAAAAATCTTGACTACTACTCAATATAGAAAAGGGTTTTATTTTCATAAAAGCAAGAAAAACGAACAAGCTTTAAGATGACACCAATAACTAACTCCACATGCCCAAAATTTTGAAGAGCACCTGATTCCACAGCATAGTGACGCAAATAAAGTCTCTAGTTCAGGACTTACGTCATTTTTGTTTTCCTCTGGCATCCAGGACGTCTCCCTCACCACCTTGCCCTGGGCTGTGTCGTACAGACCTATGCTCTGGCAGCTTGTCCCTTTGTCCCTCCACACAACCACAAAGTAGCGAGGACTGTGAGTGCGAAGGAAGGAACTGCGGAGGTACAGGAAACTTATGTACATATGAATGGCTTTTGTATCAAAACAATATGTGAGGCAGCGTGGTGGAATCAGGCTCTCGTCAATTTTTGGGCATACTGAGTTATTGGTATCATCTTAAAGCTTGTTCATTAGTCTTGCTTTCAATGAAAAAAGTGGGGATATTTTGAATTGAAGGAGGTGGCGGTCACTTGGTTTAAGAGGTAAAATTAGCGAGAAAATGGTCGCCAAAGCTTTGTAAATTCCAAAGCTTGAGAGTCCATGGAAATTTGAAAATTTATATCTTTGTGCCTTTAATCAACGTTTTCGGTGAAATCCTCAAAGGAATGTGTTTGTAAATGGACATAAAAGGTGTTGAGCCAAAAAACAACTATTTAATAAAAATTGCTAAGCAGGGAGAAAACAGCTAGTTTTCTTCGATTTAATTATTTTGACAAGAGCCTGATTCCACCACGCTGCCTCACATACGTATCCACAAAGCGAAAAATTGAAAAAAGAACTGATAATATCATTCCTTATTAGCGTAGGTTGTTTAGGTTTTTAAAAAAAAGTGAACGAATGAAAGTAGCACAAAATCATCAGTTAAAGCACATTTTGCGACAAGATATCTTAAAGCAGTTTAGATTAACGGATGACCTCATGTATGATCATAAGAGAACAAAACACACACAGACAGACACAGACACACACACACACAGTTGTGCACCCACAACCACACAGAGAATTCTAGGAAGCTTAGGAAGCTTTGAGCGCCACCCTACAAAACAAGATAACCAGTGAGTGGTTGATGGGTGCTCTTGTGTGGTAGGCTCCTTCTTTCTTATCAAACATTTTGTGTCACAATCTCTCTTCCATCTTACTTTAGTGTTTCTAACCTTCTTGTAACACCTCAAATCATCGGCTCTTATATGACCTAATTATGTCGCAAGTGCCGTAAAAGTAACCAGTCTGAGATCAACTCCTACCTGACAGTCCTCCCCCCTGTGGAGACTTTGAAGTCTCGAGGCAAATCCTGGAAGGCTATTCCAGGTTCATCACCCCGGCTGAGGTCCCATATCTTCAGAGTCCTGCAGAGTAAAACATCTCTCTCTTTGTCTTTTGAAAGAAGCAGTTCGTCATTGCACTAGCAAAATGGCATAACTTGGAGTTGTGCTTAAATCACAGAATTCTGTGGCTTAAATGCAACTAGTCATTTATTTTGTTCGGAGGTACAAAAAGTCTATCTTTTGGCAAAACCAAAACAAAACTTTGCTGGCAGTCACACAAAAGAAATATGCATGGCAAGTTTTACCATTTTTAGGTCATAGTCTGGTTAAACAGTTTTTTCCATTATTCTCAAAAGTTGCAAAAACGAGATGTGCCATTTTGCTAGCGCAGTGACGAGTTACACTTGAACAGTATAGTTCTAAAATTCAGCAATAGCTGCACAAAATTCAGCATTCCACTTTCATAGATTCACACGTGGAAATATGGTTTTTACAATTAAACAAATGTATGAATAAATACTTAAGTGAGTAGATAAAATATTTCAAGAAAACAAACATTTACATAAATACCTAATTGTTTAAATACAATAATTAAACAATGCAAAATACACATAAATAATAATAAAATGTACAGTACTAATACAATGATAAACAACGTTTCATTTTGTTTTATTTTAGTAAGAGTTTAACGGCATTTACAACACAGCTACGTCATATGAGCGCCAAAGATAAGAAACATTACAAGGGAGTAACAAACACCTAGAAGGAGGAGAGATAAGGACTAAAGATGTTTGATAGGAAAGAAGTAGCAAGCTACACTAGAGCACCCGCCAACTGTCCACAACAATGCTTCATAACACACGGTATCACATCATAACAAACAATGAACTCACCATTACTGCTTGCCTCTGTGTATGGGTAATCATGCCTTGCTCAAGGACATACCCCATATTTCTTTTTTCATAGCCTATGCGATGGAAGTAATTTTCTATCAAAATCTTTTTAAAATGCCAAAATTTTCTTTTAGAACTGGGGTTAATGGAATCATGAATAGACCTACATCACATCAGCAGGAAGTGCAACCTCTCTAAACATGCATGAACTTTTAAGCACAGATGTACAATTGAAATAAATTAAATAAATAAATAAATAGCATTTGTATAGCGCATGTCCCCACTCTAGATTACCCCAGCAGACCATAGAACACTCAGAAACATTCTCAGCTTCCCGGGAAGCATACTGTGCAAGCAGCTGGTTAAGTGCTCAAACACTAACAAACAGACAAGATCTTTCACTGTCTATAGCTGGGTACCCATTTTCACCTGGGTGAAGTGGGGAAAGTTCGTGTAAAGTGCCTTTCCCAAGGACACAACGTCGGGCCCGCGGCTCGAACCCCCGAACCCCAGAACAACGATAGTTCTCCTATTTATCATCTTTACCTTCTTCCTTTCTTTCTTCCCAAGTTTTTTCTTCATTCCACTCAGCCGAGTTGTGTTCCAGATTTGAAATAACCTATCTGCGTCTAGTTAGGCTCTAACTAACCCTTTAACCCTTTAGACAAATAGTAAGTGTCACAATGCAGTGGAATCAGGCGCTTGTCAATTTTTGGGCATGTGGAGTTCTTGGTTTCATCAAAAAGCTTGCTCAAATGTCTTGCTTTCGATGAAAATAATACTCATCTATCTTGAATAGATGCAAGATATTTGCGATTGAAGGAGATGGGGGGGTTGCCTGGTTTGAGAGGTAAAAGTAGGGAGAAAACGGCTGCCAAAGCTTTGTGATCGATTTCCAAAGCTTCAGAGTTCTTCGAAACTGCAAATTTTCATTTGTTGTGCCGTTGATCAATTTTTTTCAGTAAAGTCTGCACAGAAATGTGTTTTTACATGGATTTAAAAAGGTGTTGAGCCAAAAAATAAAAATTCAATAAAAATAGCCTAACATGCTGATTTCTTCTATTTCATTATTTTGAAAAATGCCTAATTCTACAGCAATGCCTCACATACACAGATACCATAAAAACATAATGAAAAACAGCAGAGGCTTACCTGTCATTGTTAATGGTATAAAAGATGTTCATGTCTATGCTAGCAACATCCGTGATAGAGCTCATGTCGGGAATGTTTAAGATTGTCGCCTTTTTGCCAGTCTGCAAGTCCCATACCCTCACATAGCTGGAAAAAAGTATTAAGAGTTAACTCCTTCAATGGTTTCAGTCTCAAAGTGGACAAAGTAAAGAAAATTTCAGTTTAAGTAAGAGTTTTATGGCACTTGCAACACAATAAGGTAAAAAAGTGATGAAAATTAGAGGTGTTACAAGAGAATAACAAATACAAAAAAAAAAAACAAGGAGGAGAAATGAAGATGATAGATGTTTGATAGGAAAGAAGGAGCAAACCACATCAGGCACCCACCAACCACACACAAACTGAAGAAGGCATCTTTGAGAGAAGATAAAATATAAATGTTTGAATAAGTAGAGGGTCTAGTGGATTGCTCCTTCTTTCTTATCAAACGTCTTTCATCTTCATTTCTTCTCCTTGGTTCTTTTGTATTTGTTATGCAAATACAAATGGAGATATTAAATTTTTTTTTTTCAATCCCAAAGTGGGAATTGAACTCTCTCCCCTTCTACGTGCCTTAGCAAAGACGTCAGCACTGATAAGTCATGAGATGAAACTTAGTAACAATAGCAAAAATAACTATATCTTACAAGGTTTTACAAAAATGAAAGAGAAAATATTAATTATGTGCCATGTTACGTTCAACTACAAAAAAATAATTTTTTCTAAACCCTTCACTAAAGTGTAAGAGCATGGCAAATCACCCTCTAAGAGGGTGCAACATTATCTCTGACAATGCATACAGTGTTATGAAGGAAAAGACCTTGGTATGAACCCCTAGAGGGCCGTATGTGAAGTTATAAAGACACTCCATTTACTTGCATCCATCCTATTGAAGATGTACGACAAATCTGTTATCCCACCACATAAGTCGCTTCAAAGGGCTGAAATGGGTGTACAATCCATACAGTATCAAATCATACAGTACAAACATATTATTCTGAGACCACTTTGAAAACTGAAAATTTATTAGTCTGTCCAGCGATTATCTGTACTTTAATTGAAATCCCCTTAAAATTGACCAAATTCTGACAAGGGAACTATTGTTCCTTAAAAACCACCCTAAACACTTTGCCATCACAAGGTTCATATAGTAAAAACCATTGCCATCAAAGGCAAAGGCATTCGGGGAAAAATCCAAAGAAACTACATGTGATGACAAAGTGTTAAATTGACAGCTCTGTAACACACTTCACACTTTCTCACTTCTATCATCATTCTGAAAGTCTAACCTGGCATGAGGAAAAAAGAGAAAGTTCTCATCAGGAGACAAGTGGAACTTCTCCGAGAAATCGTTTTTGCAGCCAGGGAATGTTTTGAGAACCTCCAGGGTCGCGGTGCTCACAAGGTTAAGGTCGTTGTCCTGGTAGTTGGCTACGTAGAGAGTTTCACCATCTTTGCTTAATGCCAGGCCCTCAATTGTGCCGTCCACTTTCTGGAAAAGGCGTGAGAAGCTGACGGTAAGCTCATTCATGTTCTCACTATAACGAGGTGAAATCTCACTTTTAACTGACACTGTGTCAATGATCTATCAAAGAAAGAGAGAAGAAATAAGACTCAGAGAGAGAGATACTGATAGGGAGAAAGAGAGAGAGAGAGAAATGAGAGTTAGTGACACTCAGTGAAAGAGAGAGAGAGAGAGAGAGAGAGAGAGAGAGAGAGAGAGAGAGAGAGAGATAGAGGGAGAGGGAAAAAAAGAGAGAAGAGGGAGGAGAGAGAGGGAGGAGAGAGAGGGATAGAGAGAGAGAGACAGAGACACAGAGAGACACAGAGAGACACAGAGAGAAAGAGAGAGAGAAATAGAGAGAGAGAGAGAGACAGAGAGAGACAGAGACAGAGAGAGACAGACAGAGACTGAGACAGAGAGAGAGTGAGTGAGTAAGAGAGAGAGAGAGAGAGAGAGTGGGGTTACATAGGTAGGCCACCATAACAAAATGCGAAAAACAATTTTCATATTCGACTCATTCTAATGTTGGTGGGAGGGGGTGGGGGTGGGGGTGGGGGTTTGAAACTAACATTTACCACACAATGTCAGTCTTTGCCTGATTCTGCTACTTTTAGTTATACGCACATTTTCACAAATGTTTATAAAGATTTACACTGGGGTTTCTCTGCACAGAAATACTAATCAATTACACCGGTCTACAAATTATCATTTAATGCACCCAAAGCAGGCATTTCTGTTCTTGAGACTCATAAAAGAATGGACATTGTAACTATGTTTTGTTTTGTTTTAGTAGAGGTTTTACGGCGCTCGCAACTGCATAAGGTCATATGAGCGCCAGAAGATTAGAGGTGTTACAAGAGAGTAACAAACATAAAAAATAAGGAGGGGAGATAAGGACGACAGATGTTTGATAGGAAAGATGGAGCAAACCACACCAGAGCACCCGCCAACCACCCACACATTGTAACTAGTCAGGTTATTTAGTTAGATGCACTAAAAAGTAAGCAATGCTAAATTGTGAATTTTCGGGGGCAATTGAGGATGAAATAAAAATATATACTAAACAGTTTTTAGAGGATCCATATAAATTTCCAAGCTTTTGGAACATGAATGACATAACATAGATGAAGGAATTCACAAAAGGGCATGTCTGCTTAACCCACCTTGCACACAATTCGATAAGAATAATTTTGAGACCTTTCACATGTAATTCCTTCACATAGGTCTATGTGTCTAAAACAATTGTAAATATCCAACGGCAGTAAGGTTCTTTGCAGGAATCCTGTTGACCAACAAAGTCTAAGTAAGAAATGCATAACAAATGACTAAACTGAAGAAAAAACAAAATGGACGAGCACATACCTCATTCTTTTCATTCATGTAACTTTTCAACATTTTCTTGAGATCGTAACAAGTTACAAAACTGAGGGATAAGGAAATGGAAGAGTGCATACCTCATTTTTTTCATCCGTGTAACTTTTGAGCACTTTCTTTAAATCATAACAAGTTACAAAACATGGAAAATAAAAACTAAATAGAAGAGCACACACATACCTCATTCTTTTTATCCATGTATCTTTTCTTGAAATTCGACAGGGCTGAGAAGCTGCATCACACACAAATGCTGCTTTCTTATCACTTTCCACAACAAAAATGAAGAAAAACGAAATGAAAGAGCACATACCTCATTTTTTTCATCCATGTAGCTTTTCAGCACTTTCTTGAAATGGGACAGGGACCGAGAAGCCGTATCAAATACAAATGCCACTTTCTGATCACTTTCCACGATGACCATGTATTTGTCACAACCTGAGACAAAGACATAGACAGATGAGCAGACTGTCAAAATATTTGAGGCATTAAAGTGAAATCAGGCGCTCGTCAAAATAATGAAATCGAAGAAATGGGCATTTTTCGGCCAGTATGGAAATTTCTTTCGAATTTTTGTCTTTTAGCTCAACACCTTGTATTTTCATTCAGAAACATTCTTAAGTGTGGATTTTATGGAAAAACGTTGATTAGAGGTACAAAAAATGTAAATTTGCAGTTTCCAAGGACTCTTGAGTTGTAGAAGTCATCAAACTTTGGTTGCCAATTTCTCGCTAATTTTACTTCTGAAACCAGGCGACCCCACCTCCTTCAATCGCAAATATCTCGACTTCTATCAAAGATAAATGAATATTTTTTTCATGAAATGAAAGGCAAATGAACAATCTGTAAGATGGTACCAATAACTCCAAAAATTGACGAGTGCCTGATTCCACCGCGTTGTGACACATATATAGGAAAGCTTCTACAGTGAGATTGGCATCAAACAGTATAATATGTGAGGCAGCGTGGTGGAATCAGGCTCTCTTCAATTTTTAGGCATGTAGAGTTATTAGTATCATCTTAAAGCTTGTTCACTTGTCTTTATTTGGATGCAAAAAATATCCATTTATCTTGAATACAAGTCGAGATATTTGCAAAAGAAAGAGGTAGGGGTCACCTGTTTTCAGAGGTAAAATTAGTGAGAAAATGACTGCCAAAGATTAGTTATTTCCTTAGCTGAAGAGTCCGTGGTAACTGAAGATTTACATTTTTTATGCCTTTAATTAACGCTTTTCATAAAAATCCACACAGACATGAGTTCTTTAATGGGCATGAAAGGTGTTGAGCCAAAAAACGAAAAATTGATAACAATTCAGAAACCTGCAAATTTCTTCACTTTGATTATTTTGACGAGAGCCTGATTCTACCACGCTGCCTCACATATGTGTCAAGACGCAGTGGAATCAGGCGCTCCTCAAGTTTTGGACAAATGGAATTATTGATATAATCATAAAACTAGTTCTTTTGTTTGGCTTTTGATGAAGGAATTATTTATCTATCTTCAAAAGAAATCGAGAGATTTCGGATTGAAGAAGGTGGGGGAGGCCTGGTGTCATAGGTAGAATAAGGGTGAAAATGGCTTCCAAAGTTTGGTAAGTTACAAAGCTTGAGTGTCTTTGAAAACTGCAAATTTACATTTTAAATGCCTTTGATCAAAGTTTTTCAATAAAAATCCACTTATAAATATTTTCTGAAACTGACATAAAAAAGTTGAGCCAAAAAAGGAAAATTCGAAAAAAATAAAATACCAGATAGCCAGATAATTAGCGGTTTCTTTGATTTCATTATTTTGACGAGCGCCTGATTTCACTACAACGCCTCACATATGGGGAAGCTTCAACAGTGAATTTTGCATCAAACAGTATATATGTCTGATAGAAAAATTCACACCTTGATTAAAATATAAGCCTCAAATTCACAAAACTTGAAATAGAGCACAAAGGGCAAAGTGGGTCAAATATGTTGATCGATAGCGAGTCCACTAAAGAAGGCTGAAAAAGAATACTGGGATTCGTAACGATATTTACTTTTAACTGTGGCTGTGATAACTTCAACATAATTTTAATCAATATTAATAAGTAACTTTTTATTGTCTTACGTCAAAAGTTGAGAGAAAAAGGTACTGAGCAAAGGAATATTGTCAATGTCGTTGCTCTCACATCTTCCTAACTAGAAATTAAAACAAGGCCAGAGATTTACTCTTATCATAACCAAACTTCCTATTGTAGGTGGTTGGCAGTTGCTCTGGTGTGGTTAACTACTTCTTTCCTATCAAATGTCTATCATCCTTATCTCTTCCTTCTCTTTTGCATTTGTTACTCTCTTGCAACACCTCAAATTTTCGGTACTTGTAGGACCTTATAGTGTTGCAAGTGCTGTAAAACGCTTACTAAACATAAATAAAACTTCCAATTAAGGAAATCCCATGGGAGAAAAAATTGAAAGCTTGGCTGGTTTCAGTCTGTTAGACAGTAGTTTTTTGTTGTTTTTTTTTGGGGGGGGGGTTGTGTAGGATAGAATAAGAAAGAGTCAGGCAGACAAAAGTCAGATCAAAATGTGAGGCAGTGTGGTGGAATCAGGCTCTCGTCAAAATAATAAAAGTGAAGATACTGGCATTTTTTGGCAGGCTTGTGAATTTTTATCGAATTTTTTTTTTTGCCTCACACCTTTCATGCCCATTAAAGAACTCATTTCTGTCCGGATTTTTCTTAAAAACGTTGATTAAAGGCACCAAAAATGAAAATTTTTCAGTTACCACGGACTCTTAAGCTAAGGAAATAACTACTCTTGGCGGCTGTATTCTCACTAATTTTACCTCTGAGAACAGGTGACCCCAACCTCCTTCATTCGCAAATATCTCGACTTGTATTCAAGATAAATGGATATTTTTTCAGCCTAATAAAGACAAGTGAACACGATTTAAGATGGTACCAATAACTCTACATGCCCTAAGATTGACGAGAGCCTGATTCCACCACGCCGCCTCACAAATGTAATGAAAATCACAAAAAATCTTTCATACGCCTTTTTCATAATTCCACATACCAACAGCAGGATAATAAGTGACAAAGGACATCGTCCGTGGTATCTCAGGTGGGAATGTCTTTGTGTCGCCGATGACTTTTCCGGTGTCCCCTTCCAAAAATCTGTAGGTGAGGTCTCCAGTAGAGCATATAATGAGCACGAGAGAGTTATTTGGGCCGCCCACTGCGAAAGTATCCTTGCTGCTGTTCAAAGGTGTCGTCCATTTACATGAACCTTAGGAAAGACAAAAAAACAAAAGGAGGTCACTGTGGTATAATTTCAACCTTCTTAAAAGTGATCTTAGTTCCAGTTTCTTGACTGTTCTGGAGGGAGAGAGAGAAAGAGAGAGTGAGAGAGAGTGAGAGAGAGAGAGAGAGAGAGAGTGAGAGAGTGAGAGAGAGAGAGAGTGTGAGAGAGTGAGAGAGTGAGAGAGAGGGAGAGAGTGAGAGAGAGAGATATTAGAGGGGAAAAAAGACAGACACAAAGACACACAAACAGGCAGGCACACAGACAGACAGACAGACAGACAGACAGACAGACTGATAGACTGATAGACAGATAGAAAAAGAAGTAGAGATTAACATTGGCAGAGAGGGAGAGAGAGAAAGAGAGAAAAGGAGGACAGAAAGGGAGAAAGGGGGGTTATAGAACGAGAGAGAGAGAGAGAGAGAGAGAGAGAGAGATACACAGAAAGAGAGAAAGTGGAGGATAGGGAAAGAGAGAAGAGGTGAGAGAGAGGAGGGAGGGGGTCACACAAGGTAAACAAAAATCGTACAGGTGAACCAAGAGGCACACCTACCTGTCTGTATTTCATAAGCGCACAGCTTTCCCTTCGGGTTCGCTGCCACCAGCGTGTCCCCACAGAGGAAAGTGGCCTTGTCCACATCAGCTCCAACGTTGAACACGGACCGCACCACTTTACCAGCCACAAGGTCGTAGATTTTCATGGCTTTGTCATCGCTGACTGTAATCATCACACAAAAATATTTGTATTTAAAAAGCGAAACAATAGAAATCAGATAAGAAGAGATGAGACAGTACAATTGAACCTACTCTAAACTGTATAAGACAATCACCTGCAAAAATGGCCACCTGTATAAGACAATCACCTTCACAAGCAGCTACCTGTATAAGACAATCACCTGCACAAATGGCCACCTGTATAAGACAATCACCTGGACAAATG